TGTTCGGTTTACCAATGGTAACGATACGCGAAGTCGTTCACGTAAATTTTGATTAGATTTCAGAACTTTTCACTTTTTACACAGATTACATTCGGATTTTAACTATTTACCATTTCAAAATGGACAATGAAATATAGGAAGCATGGGATGTCTGTATATGTATAATACACTTGTTCTGTCAAAGAAATGCATCTGGTTCTAGGTGCCATTTATAAGCAAATGCACCGGTTATCTTGTCTAATATACCATAGATCCTTATATACTTACATTTTTATGATTATGGTAAGATTTATTTTGCGACTTAATATCATGCTTGGCATTTTTGGAACAAGTTATGAGGATGTGGATGGGGGGTTTACAGACTAGGGAATAACGAGTTGCTAAATTATAATGAATAGAGAATAAAGGCCGTATGGTTGCCTATGATTGTTTGCGTCCAATTCATTTGAAATCGCGTTGATAGTTGTCCCTTTGTCACTCCTTATTAAAAAAGAAAGAATAAAGAATAGAGAAAAATGGCATAGAAAATTAAAGAATACAGAATTGAAGGACTCTCCATCACCCTCATGCACCCATTGCGTAAACTAACGTATTGAAACCGCATTTTTTTTTTTCACGAGGTACGTGTGTGGCACTGTTTCGAGAAATTACAACTAAAGTAGTTGATAGTTTCTGTGTCTCTTGTAGAGAGTTGTTTCATTGGTATGGTGGCCAGTTAAGGCAATTTCGTGTTTTCGTGATTTCGCTTTTCATATTGTAAAGAGCGAAAACGCGAAGTCAAACATGCAAAAACGCTAAAACACGAAAACAAGAAAAAGCTAAAACGCAAAAACGTAAAAATCGCTTGGTGAAACCATTCGCGTTTTGTGAAACCATTCGCGTTTTCGACTTTGTGTTTTTGCGCGTTTTCGTGTGTTTTCAAATTTCTGTTTTCGACTTCGCGTTTTCGCATTTTCGACTTTGCATTTTCGCATTTTCGACTTCGCGTTTACGAAAAACAAATAAGACTGACATGAACCAAAGACAACCATTGAACTACAGACTCCTGACTTGGGACAGGCACATAGAGTATATGATGAGTTAAACATGTTGGTGAGAGCTCAACCCTCCCCTAACCTGGGACAGTGTTGTAACAGCACAACATAAGAACAATCTAGAAAAATCAGTTGCAAAGAATTAACTCAACAGATCGATACAATGCAGAAAAGCATCAATCAAAAACACAGACCAGACGCGGGAGGGTATTTATCCATCCCTCATCCCTAACAACAAAAAGACACTCAGATCTGATAGTACTCACAGTTACTAACATCAAGTTCAAAGCCAATAACAACTAATAAAAAGCTCATGTATCTAAGACTTAAATATCAATTAGGTCACATCCAAATTCCAATGGATTTAGTGTAAAGACGTCATTAACATGACCTTATGCAATACCAGAATATAGGTATCGACAGATTGTAGTGCCGTGAAAGTACATATGTCGCAGTATGAAAGCCTACGGAAGCCGGTTCTGTCAAGGTGAAGTTTTAATTTTAATTCGTTATAACGACTTAGCAAACTTGTTATAACAACTAAGCTTATCTTACTCGTTATAATTGCTTAACAACTCGTTGTAACGACTTAGCTAACTCGTTTTAACGACTTAGCTAACTCGTTTTAACAACACCGCTAACTCGTTTAAACGACTTAGCTTACTCGATTAAACAACTTAACTAACTCGTTAAAACGACTTAGCTAACTCGCTATAAAGACTTGTTGTGTTAATATGTCTTTTGATTGAGTTAAGCCAATTTAATTGATATTTTATAGTGTGTCTTTCTATGTTGTGATGTTACACTATTGTTTCAGATAAGGGTGAAGGTTTGGTACCATTAAAACGTTTAAACCCGCTGCAATTCTTTTCACCTGTCCTAAGTCAGGAATCTGATGTTCCGTAGTTGTCGTTTGTTGATGTGGTTCATAAGTGTTTCTCGTTTCTCGTTTTTTATGTAGATTAGATCGTTGGTTTTCCCGTTTGAATGGTTTTACACTAGTAATTTTTGGGGCCCTTTATAGCCTATATTTCGATGTGATCCAAGGCTCCGTGTTGAAGACCGTTCTTTGACCTATAATGGTTTACTTTTATAAATTGTGACTTGGATGGAGAGTTGTCTCATTGGCACTCATACCACATCTTCTTATATCTATTAGCTACTTTCCTGGACTTAACTATAACCCCTAATGTATTGGTCTTGATTTATTTCGATTGTCTTCTTATTTAAAGATTTTTAAATGTCGACTATAATTGCACATTAATTAGAAATAGACATTGAAATGATGAAGACATATGAAGTCTTTCAATCAGTTTAATTGAAGTCTGGAGCTGGCATGTTAGTAACTTCTTGTAGTTCTTTATTAATTTATGTATTATTGTCATTTTGCTTAGTTTCTTTTGTTACCTATTATGACATCGGACTCGGATTTTTTTAAATGAGTTTAACTGTATGTATTGCTGTGTGTTTGTTTTTTCTACATTGGCTAGAGGTATAGGGGGAGGGTTGAAATCTCACAAAACATGTTTAACCCCGCCGCATTTTTGCGCCTGTTCCAAGTCAGGAGTCTCCGGCCTTTGTTAGTCTTGTATGATTTTGAATTTTAGTTTATTTGTATGTCTTGAATTTAATATGGCCTCCATTCTCACTAAACTAGTTTTTGTTTAAGGGCCATCTGAAGCACGCCTTCGGGTGCGGGATTTACTCGTTTTGTTGAAGACCCATTGGTGGACTTCGGTTGTTTTTGCACTTTGGTCGGGTTGTTGTCTCTTTGACACATTCCCCATTTCATTTTCAATTTTATTGAAAGATTTAAAACTGCAAAAAAAGAAATAAAAGATGGTATATATTTTTTCTTAAATGTCTTTAATACATCGAAGATTGCAAGCCTTTTCTAATTAATGTAGAACTAAACTTGATGATAAGGGTGTAAAATTAAAAGACATTCAATGACAAATCTAAATTTTTAAATTTGTCTTGATGTATTATTCAAATGGAATAGGTAAATCACAGAAGTCCATTTTTGGTTTTCATTACACGGAAATATTTGTGGATCTATACAAGTGTGTTTTTGTTGAACAATCTACTGAGCTTCAGATTTTTACCTCTTTTAACACAATTGTCGTGATTACGAAATGTGTTAAGTTTTTACGTTCAATTTCGATTAGCGGAAGTGGAATTTATATTATAAACGCGATTTTTTAAGCAGGTGAATATAATTTTATTCGAAGTGTCATACACAGAGAGTTTTTTAGTTATTTTACCGTTTTTTTAATCATTATTATCATAGTTTAAAAGAAGATAAATAAAAGAGGCCGAAAGACAAAGCCTTTGAATTTGGATCATAATAACGGGATGAGTACTAGGTAGTGCAGTCAAAGAATTCTAAAATAAATTGAACACAGTTATTTCGTAGAGCAATTCTTTTTTTTGGACAATTAATTCAAATAGAAAAAAAAATCGCTCCTGCTCTATCTATATGTTCGTTGTATTTTAGCACCCCAGTTTTTTTTTCTATTCTGTATATGTTAGTACCCTATTATTTATTCTCTATTCTTCAAATTTCAGCATCACATTATTCTCTTTTTTTCTGTTTATTTTTAGTCCATTCTGTAGTCTTTTTAACATTATTCTCTCTCAACACCCTACCCAAACCTTCATTCATGTATATGACAGGCATCACGATTTGTCTAGTTATGATAAAAAAATTCAGAACGAAATTTACATTTTAATTCTTTTTGTTTTAGTTTACATATTAATCTCTATTTTTATCCTATTATTTTTATTCCTTTTTTTGTGTGTCTATTCTGTGGTCTTTGTCTATTATTCTCTATTGTATAAACTCCGTCCAAAACTTCATTATGCATATGACACGGCAGGCATCATTATTTGTATAGTTATATAAAAATATATTTAAAACAAAATTTATATCTTAGTCTTTTTAGCTTATAGTTTACATAATATTTAAACTACCAAGCCAATGAAAAATACTTACATTTTCTAAATATTAATTTGGGGGGGGGGGGGGGGTAGGACCTTTATCTGGACTCCGGGGTTGGGTGTTTTTAAGCTCGGGATTTCGGGATTGATCCTTTCGGGATCCGGGAATTCTTTTTTCGAATTTCGGGATGTCGGGATTAAAAAAATTTTAAATTCGGGACCTCGGGATTCCATGTTTTTAAGCCCAGGATTTCGGGATCAATACCCCTCCTACCCCCCCCCCCCCATCTTAGTTCATATAAATCCTGACCAAAAACAATTTGAATAAGTTTAAAATGAGAAGAAAAGAGATGTATATTAAATCTTTTTGTGAAAAATACATTTGTGGATATATTTGTAATTTCAAAATGGTTGTGGGAGCACACATCTCGTTTAGTTATTCTCTGAAAACTTAGATACTGTGCAAAGGGAGGCAAATCAAATTTTTCCCAAAAGGTGCCGTATCGCCAGCTGATGTTGCAAAATCAGCAGGTGCCGTATCAGCAGGTGAGTGATTTACACCTTACTGATTATTTCCGTAATTTTCGATGGAAATGCATCCCTTCTGCATTTTTTTTTCTCTCCGTCAAGAAATAATTATTCAAAACAAACCCATGCCCTTTAAAAGATAAATGGTCGGTTACTCCCATTTTACGCTCGCCTAGCTTGTCCCTCATGGCTGAAGGAACAATTAACCAATGTCCATAGACCAAAGAAGGTTGTCCCTGGATAAATTGCGATTTCTTAACAACGACAACATAGCACAGGTGAGCTGTGTGCACAGTTCAAGGTCAAATCTAAATTATATTTTTTTACGATGAAAAAAAGAAGAAAGAAACGATTTAAAAAATATAAAATATGTGTGAGCAAAAATGATTGATTTTGTATTTTTTTATTATTGGTTAAAATCAATGAATGTAATTAATAAAATTTTTGGTTAAATCTAGCCCCGGGCTGTCCTGTTTCGCGCGCTTTAAACGTCGTCCATATTGTATTTCATGACATACGAGAAAGATGTTATACCTTTTGCTCCTAGATAAAAAGTTTTATGACGAAGATTCAGTGACAAATACATAGTTACAGTGAGTTTATTAAATGAAAGGGAACATTTTACCATTGCAACATCCAATGTTTTGACAACTTTGTTTATTTTTAATGTTCATCTCAAAACTAAAAGTTTATAGATCAGCTAAAAGTTCTAAGGGAGCTGCCATTTGATTTTTATGGGGGACTAGAATGAAAAATTTTGTCCTGCATTTTTTTTAGTTGTAATCTCTGTCCCGCAGCAGGGGCAGAAGGATTTTGAAAATGAAAATCCTGGCCTGGTTAAGCTGAAAGTAAATAATCTTGCACACGACGAGATAAAAATTTCAGCTATTCTGAAACTCAAAATGCAGGAAACTTTATCATTTGTTAAGGTGTACAAATTTGAAAGTGAAAATAATATTAACAAATTCAACATTTAACGAGTTACCATGCCAACAAACTACATCTGAGAATACTATAACACATTGGGTCGGTCTTTTCACCATCAAACACCACCGAACTCCCAAAAAGACCACTAACCCTTTAAGAAAAATAGTAATGTTACACAATAAAATCAATTAAATTGCGTAAAATTTAATCCTACGGTCATGTTCTTCACATTTTTATGTGCATTAGTGATGTTTTAAGTTGAGAATCAAAACAAATAAAAAAAAAAAACACTTCCGGATCCAGCAATATTTTTTTCCAGATTTACATTGTCTGTATTTCCTTGTAATTTATTATCTTATGGTCTTTACTTTTCAATAATTAGATGTAAATTGTTCAAATAAGTTAAAACATTTTATTTAATTTGAAATTATCACAATAATTATATATAAAAACTGTTAGACTTGAAAGTATCTGTTCTGACAACAGCCCGGCAAGACTGTTCTTTTTGGTTCTCTTGTTATCATTTCTTATTAATTTGAGTATATATATGTATAAACATATCCATTCTCGTTCAGAATTTATCAAATATATAAATAAAGATGAAAACAATATATTTATGTGTGTTAGATGGTATTTTAATGTGTTCAGCGGTGTGCGGTGGTGTTCAGTGATGAAAAGACCTACCGTAACACGTGTTATAGTAGACTCAGACTAAATGTATATATTTTGTACAATTTCTTGACTTTCCTTGTTTTACATCAACTTTTAAGTCAATATAAGATAGGGAAAGTATATGCATGATAATTGTGTGCATCTCATTTGAACTCGTACCACATATCTTATATCTATCCAAGAAACAACTTTATATTTGGTTAGAATATATGTCAATGGTTATGATAGAGCTTCTCTCAAATTATTTTATTGTTTCTTGCCTGTGTATGATGTTTCTTTAAAGGAAATATTGACGGAAAACTGCACAAAGTTAGCAGTTTTCTTTGTTTTCATAAAATGTGACGTCATAACATCAAAAATCTTAATATAATTCATTTATATTTCTTGATTTTATGCATTCCCAAACATGTGCAATTAAATTTGAATAGTTTTTTTGGGGCAAAACCGGGTCTTAATGCCCCGGCCTTCTCCTTTCATGTACATTTTGTTTTGTGAACTGTACTCATCATATTTTCATTCTTCAAGTACAATGTTGGTGCATCTCATAGCACTTTAAGGGCATTTGCTAGCTTACTGTCCACAGTGTGCTATGATAATAGTGTGGTACATGTAAGTTGGTAACTCTTATATTATTTTAATGTGCCTGTCCCAAGACGGGTGCTTCTTTGGTCCTATGTCCTATCTTAATGTTTCTCAATTTGGAAAATTGGATTTTTATGGCAGAGCAAACATTTGATTCTTTGTATACGCCCCATGTCAAAATTTTATGTATACAAATGTCGTCTGTCCGCCCGTCTGTCCAGCTTAAACCTATCGCTCCGTAACTTAATTGAGAACAACTTATCCAAATTTCATGAAACTTAACATAGTTGTTTCTTATGATGGTCAAACGATCTGTATACTTTTTGGTGAAAATAAGATAAAAACTTTTTGAGTTACAGGACTTTAATAACTAAAACAGGTGTGTGTTTTTTTTTCACATGTCGCGCCGTATCTCAAAAACAATTTATGATTATTGCTTAAAACTTTACACACTTCTTAGTTATATTAATCTTAAGATCTGTATACATTTTGGTGATGATTCAAAATTTTATTTTTGAGTTATTGAGTATTTGTAAAAAAAGGGGGAGGGGTTTTTCACATGTTGCGCCGTATCTCAAAAGCGATTTATCATTATTCCTTAAAATTTTACACACTTCTTAGTTATATTAATCTAAAGATCTGTATACTTTTTGGGTTTTGATTCAAAATTTTATTTTAGAGAGATTGATTTTTTTGTAAAAAAAAGGGGGGTTTTCACATGTCGCGCTGTATCTTAAAAACGATTTATGACTATTGCTTAAAATTTTACACACTTCTTAGTTATATTAATCTAAAGATCTGTTTACTTTTTGGTTTTGATTCAAATTTTTATTTAGAGATATTGAGTTTTTTGTAAAAAAAAGGGGGGTTTTCACATGTCGCGCCATATCTCAAAAACAATTTATGATTATTGCTTAAAACTTTACACACTTCTTAGTTATATTAATCTTAAGATCTGTATACTTTTTGGTTTTGATTCAAAATTTTGTTTTAGAGATATTGAGTTTTTTGTTAAAAAAAAAGGGAGTTTTCGCATGTCGCGCCGTATGTCAGAAACTATTTATGATTATTGCATAAAAATTCACACACAAGACGACAGCTGTATCATGCGCTTATGGCGCAGCTGTTTATTTTCTGTTAATATTCATAACTTTTATAGACTTTGGATGATTAACAGTTAAATAATGATTTAAAATTGAAAAGTTCACTTTGTTCGACATTGTTGAAAACATATATGATCTAAAATTACATTATTTATGCTTACGAAAAGAATCAAATGTAAGATATACATGTATATATATTTATTTAGAAATCCTAGAATTAATTTTGTTTAAAAATCTGGACATGCAGTAGTGTCATTTGAGTGATGTGACACTGCAGCAATATAAAGACAAGATCAATTTTAGTTTGTAATTTCTAAATCTTTTGTGAGTAAAGAATGTTACTCCAGGATTATTTGATTTTCACAATGAAAAGCGTTATAATATATATAGTCATCAGTTCGTCTAGTATCTATCTTCCCTAAGGGACTAAGGGAAATAAACACTTAGCTTCTTTTTGTCTTGCACATGTTGGGACCAAACAACTTGTATGGTGATAATACTTGCATAAGTGAATAAAATTATCCTTCTTTAGAGGGCTGGAGGTATAAAGGTTTAAAACAATCAAATCATGGTTCATCTGGTTGCATATATGAAAAAGGGAAATAAAAATAATCCCTTGAATTTGACAGTTGAAGGAAATAAATCCTACATCTCATTGCAATAAAAAATGTCTGAGTCATAAACATATATCTTGGCTGTTTCAAAGCACCATTATTTTTTTTATTTGGTGTTTCTATTGAATATTTTAGAAACTGGCTGTTACATGGTTACTAAAGCTTGTACATGAGGAAAAAAAGAGGTGAAAATTTGATTGTTTAACTTCCAGTGATGCAGTGATCTGGAAGGATTTTTTCTCTATGGGCCCAGGGCTCCCCAAAAATAAATTCAATGGGCCATTTTTAGAATCAATGGGCCATGTTGTCAAATGAGTGGGCCATTCTTTTACAATAAAAAAAAATTTAAAAAGTGTATATTTCACTGTACTTACAAGTATGATTCTAATTAATATCATGGATATTGTTCCTGTGATTTTGTAATTTCAATTTCAATGAATATACAATAACTTCTTCCAAACCGGGCAATATCTACGATAACCTTTATTTACAATGTTAAAACTGGTACTGTTCCCTTGTTCATGTTCATGTTTTTTTTACATTAAATTTGGGTCTTCGTCGATACCATACTTATTCCAGACGTTCCGAATTAAAGGACGTTTCTGGCATTTCCTCTGCACTTGTATTATTATTACTTCATCACGATGACAAGAATAACAGTACAGAGCAACGTTAATTGATAAGACACAACAACAATTTGCTGAAGGCATGTTTACAAAATGTCAAAATGAGCCAAAGACCAAAAAAATTGTCAAGGACAGTTAAGCCCCTTTTATGGAGACAAATACTATACCATTCATAAAAAAGCTTTTGGGTTTTTCAATCGAAATAATAGCAAGCTTACTTAAAAGATTATTATGAGAATAATTCTCGCCTGTACTAGCCAATCTTCACAAATTTAAAGTTGTTTAATGTTGCTATTATTACCATAGGAAAACACCCGAGACGTCCCAAAAATATATAAGTGCTCCTATCATTGGAGTAAACACTACACAGTTGTGTACTCACACATGGCGGCACGAAATACGATCGGAAATCCATTTGACGATATCACTACGTTTCAAAACGAAGTGAAAAATATCATGCGCCACGCGGGCGCTTACATTTGTCACTCTATGCGCCATTTCTGGTCGATTGGCGCAAGGCGCACGTCCTTCCTGATCACTGGTGATGGTTATTTTCTTATACGCATTGAAATGTTATTTGAAATTTTTTCTATAGTACTGGACAGGATAAAACTTTTCTCATGCCAAGTATTTTTTTATTTGAAATAAAGATATTAAAATTCTGCACAATTTTTTGAAAAGTGCAAATTTAACAAAGACTAATAGGGGAAATTCAATGGTGGTATATACCTATATTTGTTTAAAGTTGATTTAAAGCAGAAAAATGGCTAAAGTGCTTTTCTAGCTACAATCTCTGTCTGTATCAGTTAGTCTATGAAAAGGTATCAATTATTGACCGGTCAATTATTGCAGGTTGCTACAAATTTGGACCACTAGTTTTCAGCTAACGTGAAAACATTAACTTACAATCTATTGTACCTGAACACCTAACCAACAACAATAGGGAAATATAAAGTTGACCATTGAATTTTATGTTTAATTACACCTTATGTAAGAATCCTGGGTTTTGATTGGTTGATAGCCAGTGTATTTTTCACCAATTTACTTTTATCAAATGAATATTGTTCATTTTTAAACAGCGTCGGGGTATATGCAAAAAGGATAATCCTTTTTTACCCTCTCTGCCGTGGTATTTGCCAAAAAATACTCTATCCGACTGGACGCTTGTAATGTCACGATCATCAATGCGTTTTGTACGTTAACATTCAGTGTAATTAAACAGATATAGCATGTTCTCGAGGGGTATTTGCGAAAAATACCAGTCTTGAGAATGAATTTCCCTCGCCTTACGGCTCGCGAAATTTAACATTCTCTCGACTGGTATTTTTCGCAAATACCCCTCCTAAACATGATATATCTGTTCAAAATCTAACAATAGAAATTTGTTCATTGAGGCATAACTGAGTAGAATTTACCTGATCATAACAGATATGTGGTGAAAAATAAATTGTATTTTCAGTCACTTTAGCAGTAAAATAGACATGTGCATATTAAATAAAGTAGGTATACATCAATTGGTGCATCGAATATGGCAGGTTATTGCCATATTAAGTAGAAAATGCTCTTGTTTTGCCATTTTCTGCTTAAATACAGGCTCAACAAATATATCTCATTACAGAGGGATAATTTTAATCAGCTGTAGGAGGTTAAGGAAATCGATCACTATACAAATAATGTCACCATATATGGGGTTTGGTCCCAACCTTTTACAGAGTGTTGGAAATTAAAGAATTGTCTCCAATTGTATAATAATAGAATAATTTCATTATTTGTGTCAATATTTACTGACTGTTTGAATCATTGTTTTCAGGCTTCCAGTTCAGTGTTTGTAATGAGCCACATTAAACAAAACACTGGCAGGCAACACTATAAAAGATGATGGAAATGGCAGGTTGTTTCATGGTAAGCATCTTTTGTAATTCACTCATTGTCTCCTAACTTTAAATGCAAAGTCTTCCAGGTTGGTCAGTAATAGCAGCAGGGACAACCTGCCAAAAAGGGTATATAATACTTTAAATGAGTAACAATCTCTCTATTTACTCATTTATGGTATATTATTAAAGTGTTAAATATGAATTTATTTCCACGTCCAATGGAAGGAAGGAGGGTTTGTTGGTTGAATATGTCAGTTCATCTGAGTCCTCGTTTTCATCAGTTTTTGGAATACCAAATTTAATTCTGAAATTTAGACAGTATCAAGCTTCAATTGAGCATGCAATACAGAGAAGTGTAAACTATTATTAGGGCCTAGCTTCCAATAGGACGAGGGATCCCTTTATTTTTCAATTTGTCCATCTGTGTTTTTTGTCCACAATTTTCTGTGAATGCACAAACCAAACCCAACAAAATTTTGCACAGTTGATTTGTCTTATCTGTGAATGTGCATTAAAGCCTCTCTTGTGACGAAAGTCATGGAAAGTAAAACACAGGGATTGTTTTTCTGGCGACAATGACAGTTTCGGCTCTGGCGTCAACAATTGTTAAGTTTTCTGCTGAAGTTAGTTTGAAAGGAACTAACTGTGCTAGATTAATGATATTTTGTATGAAGTCGCTTTACTATCAGTACATATATCAGTTTGACGACTATTTTGAGGCCCTGACCCTAGCTCCTAGGGGCTTTGAATTAATATAGCAATTTTCAATGTTAAGTTGTTCTGCTTAAGTCAGTTTGATATAAGATCTATTTGTGATACATCAATGATATTTTGTATGAAGTCGCATTTCTATCAGTTCCTATCAATATATATATATATATATGTGTAACTTAAGCAGAAAAACGAACGTTGAAAATTGCTAAATAATTCAAAGTTACAATAAACAACGATATTTTCTATAAAGTTACATAACTGTCTGTCCATCTCTGTGTTTGTCGACCATTTCCAAGCCCTGCCCACTTGATCTTGGTCTAGTGACTGATTTAATAAGCAATCTTGCTGTCCATCAAATTGTCTTTTTCTGAATTTTATGCTGAAAGGCAAGACATGTCTCTGTGTCAACAGTTAACATAAGCATTAGCATTTCTCTTTTCCATGGAGGTTTATATTTGGCCCTGCACCTTCAGTCATGTTTGCACTGGTACATTGTCCACACCCCCTTCTCCTCACTAAATTTCAGGTAAAAAAAACTATTTGTAACTGTTGGAAAATGTCTAATGAAACTGCGGTAAAGTAAGTCAAAATCACACAATAAACAATTTAGAAACCTGTGTATGTTTAAACCGGAAGTTTGAATAGCACATGTAAAAGAAAATAAAAACAGTGTGAGTCGAAATCCGTACTTAACAGATATCACTATAATACAACTTTGAAAGTAAAGCAGTTCCATGCATGCATATCCTTGTGTAAAACAATGTTTAATATATCTATCACATTAATGTTTGAAGGGTCTTAAGCTAATACAAAACATATTCGTCTGTATGAAACACCTAAACGGAACGAATATTATCTGTTTGACTAATCTATAAATCTTCAGAAAATAATTCTTAAAAATTCATTTTTGCAAATAAACAGTTTTTTTTTTATGTATGTTAATGTATGATATATACAAACTCTGACTATGAATATTGTAATTTTGGGCCAATAATCAAAAAAGTTACCCATTAGGTCTCTATGTTACTTCTATTTTTGTCTAATTATAAAATACTTGATGGAGTAAGTATGAATAGTGTAACAGCCTTCCATTCAAAACAAAAACATTAGACATGTGTTTTAATAACCTGTTTCATTGTACCATGTGACTTAAGTCATTTAAATATCAAAGGACATCATACATTGTACATGTCATGAAAACTGGTTTTATATGATTTTATAAATGAACTTGCAATGTATCTACAAAGGTGATATTTTCATTAAATTAAGTATTAATACAGAGGGAACTTGGATATAGCATTTTGCTTACTTATTTAATTACCGTCTCCAGGAAGTTCCATTTATCCAATCATGATTGAAATCATAATTTCTGCAGCCCTAATCTTTTACTAATTGGTATGATTGGTATCTAGGATGCTAGCCAATCATTGTTCTTGATTCATTTAAATTGTCCAATCAGATTGAAACCCCTACTCCGGCCTTTTTATATCGACATGGGGAAGATACTATCCCCTTAACCTATGCAGTGTTTTTGGCTAGGCTTAAAACTGTCCTATCAGTTATTGGTTTTGACGCCTCGCTTTATTCTGGACATAGTTTTCGTAGAGGAGGTGCCACGTTTGCTTTTCAGTGTGGTGTTCCAGGGGAACTAATTCAGTCTCAGGGAGACTGGAAAAGTGATGCATATAAGGGTTATTTGGACCCCTCTCCTTCCTACAGATTGCATGTTATGAAAACTTTTGCTAATGCACTTAAACTTTCTATTTAACATATCACTACTTTATTCCTACATTGTACCTGGTTTGGGCAAGTGTTTGGAGTACCACAGACTTATCAGTGAATTGATATTTGCGAAACAATTAACTTTTTATGATTCTTTCATTGTTCATTGGCATTGTTTATTATATAATGAAAGAAATTAATAAAACTGTGGTTAGTTTGCCCAAACCAGTATTTTGTCTCATTTCAACTTATATTTGTTTATCTGGTCCAGCCTGTGCATAACGGTTAAGGTACGAGATTCTGTTTGGCTTCAGTAAACATGAGCTCTTCAGGGTCTGGTCTTACATCCAATTGTGTTATGGGCATGGACCAGAGTATAGCCTTTGCCTGCTGGATGCATATCACATACACACATTCATTACATGTAATTCTCTCAGAAACCCATGAGGAGGTGGGTGGGACCAGTACAAGTGTATCTGGATTAATGTGATATTTTCATTAAATTAAGTATTAATACAGAGGGAACTTGGATATAGCATTTTGCTTACTTATTTAATTACCGTCTCCAGGAAGTTCCCTTTATCCAATCATGATTGAAATCATAATTTCTGCAGCCCTAATCTTTTACTAATTGGTATGATTGGTATCTAGGATGCTAGCCAATCATTGTTCTTGATTCATTTAAATTGTCCAATCAGATTGTTAATTGCAGTCTTTGTTTTACCACAAGCGCGCTCTTGATCACTTTTGAATTTGCAAAGCGTATGCAGGCTGCTTTTCATATTCCAGTTACAATTCAATTTTACTCCCACCCGCCACATCCCTCGCAATACTTGTATGTATGTTGATTTTGTTTTTCATGACTATATGTTTTCATTATATGTGGCACCTATTTGTAGATTTTGTTTTTGTTTTTGTTTTTTTTTATTTGTGTATTGATAGTTTAGTTTCCATTTTCATATTGATAACCACAGTTGTTTGCCTTTAGCTTCTTGTATGGAGTACCACAGACTTATCAGTGAATTGATATTTGCGAAACAATTAACTTTTTATGATTCTTTCATTGTTCATTGGCATTGTTTATTATATAATGAAAGAAATTAATAAAACTGTGGTTAGTTTGCCCAAACCAGTATTTTGTCTCATTTCAACTTATATTTGTTTATCTGGTCCAGCCTGTGCATAACGGTTAAGGTACGAGATTCTGTTTGGCTTCAGTAAACATGAGCTCTTCAGGGTCTGGTCTTACATCCAATTGTGTTATGGGCATGGACCAGAGTATAGCCTTTGCCTGCTGGATGCATATCACATACACACATTCATTACATGTAATTCTCTCAGAAACCCATGAGGAGGTGGGTGGGACCAGTACAAGTGTATCTGGATTAATATGCTATTTGTGGGGGAAAATATTATAATCAGATGTTTTATTTTGTTTTTATTTCTTACCAAATTTTTAATTTTTGTTACCTTAATTTGATTATATATTTATATATTTATCTTATAAAAGAATATAAGCAAGCTTTTCATGCTTAAAGCATGATGACAGTATTAACAAAATGAAGAGCCTCTAAAAAGTTTCACCAATAAGTCATAATTTACAGAATATACATTTAATATTTACTTTTTTCATGAAAAAACAGTCAGCTTATGACTTTCAAAATATGAAAATAAAACTAGATAAAATATAATCATAAAGAACTTTACTGTTTAAAAGGGGAACTTTTCAATAAAATTACTAAACTGAATTTTGCATAAAACTACTTTGTAGTTTTTAAAAATGTTATACTAGTAATGTCTAGTGGAAAATATTTTTTTATTACTAAGGTTACTCATAGAAATTGAACAATGAAAAATACAAAATCATGTATACAATAAGTTCAGTAATCACATGACATAAAACTTCAATGAAGTCCAAGTTTGTTTGCTGGTCAGCGTTATTTAAATGAGAAAAGTCACATGGTATATTATGAAACAGGTTTAAAGCACATGTCTTATGTTTTTGTTTTGAATGGAAAGCTGTTACACTATTCATACTAATACTCCCATCAAGTATTTTATATAAAGAAAATAGGAGTAACATAGAGACCTAATGGGTAACATTTTTGATTATTGGCCTAAAATTATGATATTCATAGTCAGAGTTCGTATATATCATACATTAACATACATCAAGAAAAAAATGTTTATTTGTAAAAATGAATTTTTAAGAATTATTTTCTGCCTGAAGATTTATAGAAGTCAAACGGATTAGAATAACCGATTACGTTTTTGTAGTTTACACATTGTAAGCTGGTTTACGGTTGACTTTTTTTACTCTTTTCGTTCCCTTTTTTCATTCAAGCAGATTCCAGTTTATATTAAGCAATGCAGTGAAAAGAAACGAGAAATTCGTAATGAAGCATTTAATTTTTAAATTTATCAGTATTAATTTGATATTGACTAAAAATAACTTATTAATATAGATAAGGTAAAATTATTAGTTTTAAAAATGAAAAGTAAGTGCCCTCTACAATATCAAAAACAAACATGGCGGAACATAAGCCACCTCGCGAATTCATTTTTTTTTTTTTTATTTCTTGCTTATTGTAC